AATCTGCTCATGTGGGCTCTTCGTGTTTTACCAGGACAGAAGCTTTTAAATGCTCAGTAACTGTTCTTTGTGTTAAATTAAATTGTGGACTAGTTAACACTCAGGGGACTCGGTGCTAGGCTGAAATTCCACATCTCTGCTTCTGTTTCGATAGAGAGCAGGAGGCTGAGCGCAGTGGCTCACGCCTATAATCCCAGCTCTTTGGGAGGCCGAGGTGGGCAGATCACCTAAGGTCAGGAGTTCTAGACCAGCCAGGCTAACCAGACAAGATGAAACTAAAAATACAAAAATTAGGCTGGGCGTGGTGGCACATGCCTGTAATCCCAGCTACTCAGGAGGCTGAGGCAGGAGAATCGCTTGAACCCAGGAGGCGGAGGTTGCAGTAAGGCAAGATCGTGCCACTGCACTCCAGCCTGGCGACAGAATGAGACTCCATCTCACTAACAAGAAAAAAATTAAAGAAAGCAGGAGTGAGAGCTGATTGGCAGCCGGGAAAGCCTACACCACTCTATGGAATGAGACGTACGAGACGGTCCTGCCCCTCACTGAGCATGAGTTACCACCTGGCACTGTGTGGACCTCCGTGGACTGTTCATTGCCTCCAGAGGGTTTCAGCTGTTTATTTCTATGTGGCGTGTTTATGCTTCCTTAAGCCAGTGGTTCATGGAAAGACTCTATATTCACATAACCAGAAGGGCCTTTTTGGCCTGATGCATTTCACCTGGGCCAAGGCCAGGGAGACCTCTTGTTGCTCATGTCATACATATATATATTTTTAGGTGGAGCCTCACTCTGTTGCCCAGGCTGGAGTGTAGTGTCACCATCTTGGCTCACTGCAGTCTCCACCTCCTGGGTTCGAGTGATTGTCCTGCCTTAGCCTCCTGGGTAGCTGGGACCACAGGCACCTGCCATCATGCCCAGCCTAATTTTTGTATTTTTAGTAGTGTTGGGGTTTCATCATGTTGGCCAGGCTGGTCTTAAACTGACTTCAGGTGATCTGCCTACCTTGGCCTCCCAAAGTGCTGGCATTATAGGCATGAGCTGTTGTGCCCAGCCTCATGTTACATATTTTTAAAACACAAATTGCACAACTGAAAGATAAACGACCCCCCATGCAGCATGTGAATGGTGGGATCAGGTATCGCATTCAGAGGGCCAGGTTTATGCATCCATGAGCCAGGGGTGGTACTGACCCCAATATACAGATGAGGAAACAGGCTTGGAGAGAACTAGTTCTTGAGTCAAGGTGAGTGTTTGGGCAGAAGCCAGATGGTGGGGGAACGGAGGCCACTTTAAATGTGGGGCTTTTGTAATGGGAGGGCAGTGAGGAGCCCTGGGAAGATTTGAGACGAGAGCAATGGGTCCGCTTTGTGCATCTGTTTCTAAAGAGGTTAAAATCCCTTAGGGGAGCTGAAGTGAGAGGATTGCTTGAGCCCCGGAGTTCCAGACCAACCTGGGCAATACAGTAAGACCCCGGCTCTACAAAAAATTTAAAAAATTAGCTGAGCGTGGTGGTGTGCACCTATAGTCCAAGCTACTCAGGAGGCTGAGCCCAGGAGGGCAAGGCTGCAGTGAGCTGTGATCACACCACTGTGGGGATGCATGGCACTCAGGTGTGGTCAACAGAGCAAGACCCTGCTCAAAAAAAAGATCCCTGCACCCTGGGTTTGGGCTGGGCATGTAAATGAAGCCGTCTTAATAAGCAAAGAATTCTGCCCAGTGGACTGTGACTTGGCTGCCCTCCACTAAAGTCTAGACCAGTGCCAGCCCTTGGGCAGCCTGCCCTAGCCTGGTACCTGCCCCAGGCTCCTGCCAGCAGCTGGCTTCCGGATGCTCTGGTGCAGTGATTCCCGACACAGTCACTAGCACAGGACAGTCGCTGCGCCGTGCAGATGCGCCATTCGAATGTATATGGGTCTTAACCTGAAGAATGAATCTGGAGAGCTCCTTGTATGTGAAGTACAGCTTTTCCAGCCGTCATGAAAGGCCGAAGGCACGCTGCCCTTGAAGTCTTGCTCCTGTGTTGAGTGCTTTTCCCTCTTCTCTTCCCCTTCCCTGGACCCCTGTACGCTTTTGTCCAACCCTTGTCATTCTTTGTTCTGGACATCTTGCCTTGTGCGATTCCCTTATGGAACCAGCACACACGCTTAGTCTTCTCCCCATGGGGGTTTTATTTGAAGTTGCTGTGGTTTGCAGAAAGGGTTCCGACAAAATGCAGGAGCTAAGTGATCAGCCACTGCTACCCGCCACCTGACACAGAGGAAACCTTCCCGCGGAGCCCGTGCCACAGCCGTAGCGGGGTGGGGATACAGCCTGTGTCCTTCCTCTTGACATTTCATAAATGCTTTTTGTTTTTATAATTTTTTTTTGAGATGACATTTTGCTCTTGTCACCCAGGTCAGAGAGCAGTGGCACAATCTCAGCTCACTGCAACCTCCACCTCCTGGTTCAAGTGATTTTCCTGCCTCAGCCCCCAAGTAGCTGGGACTACAGCTGCGTTCCAGTGTACCTGGCTAATTTTGTATTTTTAATAGAAATGCCATGTTGGCCAGACTGGTCGAGAACTCCGGACCTCAGGTGATCCGCCTGCCTGGGCCTCCCAGAGTGCTGGGATTACAGGCATGTGCCACTGTGCCTGGCCTGTTTTTATAATTTTAATGGCCAAATATTATTTTGTAAGTGGATGTAGTACAGCATATGTAAGTCTGCGATTTTCTGTGTATGTGTACCTCTCTGTGGGGTGTGTGTGCCTGTGTGTGTGTATATGTGTATGTGTGGCACTCCTGTGTGTGAGTGTGGATTTGTGTGATGCATATGTGTATATGTATGTGCACCCTTGTGGGTGTGTGCATGCCTATATTTGTGTGCACCTGTGTGTGCAGGTATGTATGTGTATGCCTGCATGTGTCTGTATATGTATGCAGGTGTATATGTATGTATGCATGCTTGCATGTTCATGTGTGTGTGCATACCTGTGTTTCTATGTACTTGTGTGTGCATGTATGTATGTGTGTATGCCTGTGTGTGCATGCCTGTATGTGCATGCACATGCATGTGTGTGTGCATATCTATGTTTGTGTGCACCTGTGTGGCATGCCTGCATGTGTACGTGCCTGTGTGTGTGCATGGCTGCATGTGTGTGGGTATGTGCATAGCTGTGTTTGTGTGTGTGTGTGTGCGTGCTTGTGTGTGGCGGATGTGTGTGTATCTCTGTGTGCATGCATGCCTATGTGTGTGCATGCCTGCTTGTGGGTATGTGTGCATGCCTGCATGTGTGTGTGTGCATGCCTGCATGTGTGTGTGCATGCCTCTGTGTGTGTGTGCATGCCTGCATGTGTGTGTGCATGCCTGCTTGTGGGTATGTGTGCATGCCTGCATGTGTGTGTGTGTGCATGCCTGTGTGTGTGTGTGCATGCCTCTGTGTGTGTGTGCATGCCTGCATGTGTGTGTGCATGCCTGCTTGTGGGTATATGTGCATGCCTGCATGTGTGCGTGTGTGCATGCCTGTGTGTGTGTGTTCCTCCTCCTGGAATAGAGCCAGTCCTGTGATCTCCTGCTGGCTACTTTACTTCCTTTGTCCCCAGTTTTTTCATCTGAAAAATGTGTATGATAATATCTCACACCTGGAATTGTGAAAGTTCAGAAAGATGCCATGAATTATAAGTTCCTTGTGTATAAGAAGTGTTAAGTAGATACTATTTACTTACTTATCCACCTTTTGCTGAAAAATGGAAACAGCCTGGTATTTGCTGGCAATGAACATCTCTGAGTATGTACGTTGTCATTTAAAAAAAATTTGTTACTTCTTTGGAAAAAGTCCCCAAACAT